TTATATATATTATTTATAAAAAGAGGGATATAAAACATGATATTTACAATATTAAATATTTCTAATTAATGCAATTTTTAATATAACAAAAACAATTTGAGACTGGATTTGGAGCGGTGCAGCGTTACTCCTTGCCCAAAAAAGTCCGTGGTTGATCTTCATGCAACGTCAGATAGCATCTCCTTTGTCCTTTCATGGGAGCTTTCACCATTTAAGTTTTTTCATGGAAAATAGTGAAAGGTAAGCCTAACCACTTCAAGAAAGGACTTGTCAGTCATTTTCGTACGTGTGAACACGAGCATGCGACGGTCTCATCTTCTCGTAACGAGAAAATATTATGTTAGGGCTGATATATAGACGTCGATGTGAATTTATATGGTGCGATTCACTTATCATCTTCAGGTATGATTAACCAGATGTAATATTTTCTCCCGAATAGAAGTTGCTCTGTGAATATTTTTGGATCATCTCCAAATATGTGGCTAATTTATTGCTAAATCCGTGTTATTTGATTTAATCATGGAGAGTGAACTAAATTAATTCAAATTTGAAAGTTAAAATGAATTATTATATACACAAACACCATAATGAAGGGAAAGCTGATCTCTTAGGAACTGAGTCTGCATGTCGAAGTGGGTGAATTGAGCCCTCCAACCGAAGTGGCTGAACTTAGTCCATTTGTGAGGGTGCCCAAAGCGAAGCGACATCAACAAAGGCAACTATCAGAAGGAACTGGAATAACTGATAGGGACATCTACCAATCCCTCATTAAGAATCCCATTGGGCAATTTAAACAAAAGTCTTTTAAAGGTGCTAGAGATCGTAGTCGTACCGACCATATCTGACAATCTTCATTAAATGTGCTACGAGATGTCTAGAACTTCAGTTTTTTTAAGGTGGCAAAGAAGGCGACCGTACCAATTACGTCTGACAGCTCAACAATTACGACAACTGCAAATTTATTAAGTTTGGGGAGACGAAGCACCGACACAGAATTGGGCATCGACCGTCCGACACCTTAGCACCGGACTGTGATTGCTGAAGCTCCCACATTGGGGCGCAAACTGAGAAGTCGATATTCAAGCACTGACCTTAGGCAATCCAACGTCCATTGTGCAACCCAAGATCTTTCCTTCCCGAGTGTTGGGTGCCTTTGCGCCTAGTCTGAGCGCATTTGCGCCTGGTGCAATTACTCCATTTTTTTGGGCTTTCAATGCAAAATTCGAGCAATGTAATCAATAAATTACTGTGCGGGTTTCTTTGAAAAGTTTCTAATCTAAGAAGAGATGTGTTAGAAGAGAATTTTTGGGATCTCGGCATGTGTTTTTCACGTCGGATTAGACCGGGAAGGGTTTGGAGCGACTCATGTAAGTTTTTTATTGTGTAGAGAAGAAACTAGTGTGAGTTATCTATAAAACATTTTGAATTTCATAATAGAATTTTATGATGGTGTGGCTCCATGGTTTTTTCCCATTATCGAGGTTTTCCACATAAAATTCTAGTATGCTTTTCTAGTTGCTTTAGTTGTGCTTCAATTTAGATTTAGTTCTGACTTTTTCGCGAATCTCTTGTGATCCTATTATTCTATGGTGTGGTTTAGTTTCTAACTAATCCTAAGCTCCAGTAAAATTGGGAATTGCTCTAGTTATTTCTATCAAGTTGATCTAAGAGAAGTGTTCGATTTGAGTGGGAGCAATGATTGAAAAAACATTATTTAGAGTGGAGAAGTTTAATGAAACAAACTTCACATTATGAAAGATGCACGCAGAGTATTTGTTATATTAGAAAAATTTAAGTTTGCCACTACAAGGAATTACAAAAAAGCCCGACTCAATGTTTACGGAGGAAAGGGAAGCGTTGGATCGAATGACATTATGTTTGATCAGGTTGTCACTTTCTTCATCTGTTGCGTTCAACATTGTAAATGAGAAAACTATGAAAGTTCTGATGGAGTCACTAGATAGGATGTATGAAAATCCTTCTGCTTCCAATAAGGTTTTACTGATAAAGAAGTTATTCAATTTGAAGATGGCGGAGGGCAGTTCAGTGGCAGAACATGTCAATAATTTCAACACCGTGACAAGCCAATTGTGCTATGTGGGGATCAGGTTTGATGATAAGGTCATAATAGTGGTGATACTATCTTTATTGTCGAACAACTGAAATGGTTTGGCAACGACGACGAGTAATTCTCTAAGGACTTTAAAGTTGAACTTTGATGACATCGTGAGTCTGATACTGAAATGAAGAAGTTCGCAATAAAGCAAAGAACGATGAATTTGCAAGTTCTACGTTGAATGTTGATAATAAGTGAAGAAATCTAAGCAGGAATATAGGTAGAGGCAGATCCAAGTATGAGAGAGGAAAGCATAAGTCAAGCAGAGGATAATGTTGGAACTATGGTAAAAAAGGGCAGTTCAAGAAGGATTGCAAGCTCCAAGAAAGGCTGGTGGTGTAGGACATGAAAATAGTTTCTCTGCTAATGTCTCTACTGGTGATATCCAAATAACTTCCTAGTGTTATCCCTAATCAACACTGAATCTTGGATAGTAGACTCAGATACACATTTTCATGCTTATCCAAATAAAGAGCTATTTAAAAACTATACTCAGAGTGATCTAGGAAATATTTGTTTGGGAGATAACAAGGCATGCAATATCGTAGAAAAGGGTGATGTTGATATCAGGTTATTAAATGAAACAATATAGAAATAATATAGGAAAGGTTTATTTGGGACATAATAAAGTCCGCAGTATCGTAGGGAGGGCTGCTTGATGGACATTGATTGATAGAAGTAGGATCTAAGGTAGAATTAGAAGGACCACCTGCATGCAATGTAAGTGGTGGTGGTGGAATGGTGGGAGGGGATGAGATTCAGAACAATGGTGACAAAATCAGGGTAAAGGCTTGTTTGTAGGGAGTAGAGGGTGCAAAAGGAACAGAGGGAGCGAAGAGAATGAAGGTCATGACAGTCATCGAGATAGTAATACTCATATGTATACTACTTCCTCGTCGTTTGACTACCCTCTTTCTCCAAAAATAACTATGATGTTATCCCCTACATGGAGGGAAATCATCATTGCCACTTGAGGAAATCTGCATCAAGAAAAAATGAATTAATCAAAGCAGATAATAAAATGTAAGATGATAAAAGGAATAAAAATAGTAAAAAGAAATAAAATCAA